GTAATACTCTTACTATTATACCCTTTAAAATAAGCTACCTTTACCTACTAAAGTAAATAAGTTCTATTTTTAAGGGGTTAAAGTAGACTCCTTAGTCCTTAGCTTATTTAAATAGGTTAGTAGCTATCGCTTCTAGCTACTAAACGTTCTTCTTAGCCGAGGTTAACGTTAAAGAGATACTAAAGTTATCTATATAGGATAGCTAGTACCCCTTAGCCGCTAGTATCCCCCTTATATATAAGAGGAATAAAATAAAGCTAATAAAAGACCCTTAAGGCACCCTTATTACTAGGTCTATAAAGGCCTAGATTTACCCCTTAAAGGCTAGCTAGATCTTCTATTATAGGATAAAAATTACGTACTATATTACGTAATATATTACGTAATATCTTTCCCTTAGGTAGATTATCTAGCTAAGAGAAGGAGAGATTCTCTTCTTTTCTCCCTCTTAATCTAACTATAGTCGCTCTTTAGCTACGTTTTCCTTATATCTCGTACCGTCTCCCTTTATATCTCTCTTTCTTCTACCTCGAGCCCCTTACCTAGGCCGACTTATTCCGCCCTACCTAGCTATTATATAATATCTTCCTTTTAGTAAGAAGTAGTCTACCTAGCTTATAAGGGCCTTAGGGAGGTTTAAGTCCCTTAGGACCCTTATAAGCTATTCCTTCGATATAAAATTAAAGGCGCCCTTTATATTTAATAAGAGGGTATTAATAATAGCTTTCTTATTAAACTCTTACTTCTTTTAAATATAGTATAGAAGGAGGAAGGCTATATCTATAGCTAACCGCTATTTTTATCCCCTTAGCTATATAGGGTTTAAAAGCCCGGCTTTATTAGCTAAATAGCTTAGCTAGTTTAATAGTAGCTACGGTATACACCTAAAGACATACCTACGCTAACGGTAATAGCAGCAGCTAGATACCGAAGGACGAGGGGGTCTAAGGGGAACGAAGGAAAAGAGAAAGCACTAAGTAGGGCAAGGCAAAGGCAAAGAGGGCTAAAAAAAGGGTATATTAGCAAAAGAGGATATAAAAGAAGATAAAAGGAAGAAGATAATAAAAGAAGATAATGCTAATAATATCTACTAGCTAAGGAGGAAAAAAGACCTCTTTTATAGACCGAATTTTCCCTCCTTCTTCCTTAGATAAATAAGGGCTAAGGGATTATCTAATTAAGAAGAGGGCTAGCTAGAGACTCTACTAAGGATCCTACTAAGGACCCTACTAAGGACTCTACTACGCGGGCTATATATATTCCTTAGGGTATAGATGCCCCCGTTAAACTAGGTAGCGTATAGCTTTTTAAGGAGCTTTCCTAAGTAGTTAAGTAGACTTATTACCCTATAAGCCTTAAGGATAGTATATTCTTACTTATTTTACTTAGGAAGTATAATTTCTATAGCTTCCTTCTACGCCTTAAGGTAGTATCCTTAGTTAAATAGGGCTTTATAGGCTTTATTAAAGACTATAAGGATAGCTTTATATATATATTAGATAGGGAGGAAGCTAAGGGAGTCCGGGCTAAGGGCTTTCCTATTAAAAGAGCTAAAAATAGCCTTCTTAATCTTAGGGTTCTTTAGCTTTAGCTAGTCCTACTTAGCCGTGCCCTTACTACTTATATAGCCTAGAGGCTCTTCTTTTTCTAGGCTCTAAAGGGGGCTAGGGGGGGGCTAGGGCTAGGGTCTAGGGTTAGAAAAAAGGTCGTTAGGAAGGCCTTATATATTTCTATAAAAGTATTAACTTTTACCTCTATCCTTTCTTTTTTATATAAGATACTAAGAAGGGTAGGGTTAGCTTTAGCTTTAGTATAAGAAAAGGCTATAAAGATATTCTTTCCTACTACTTCTATTAAGAAGCTCTCTTAGTATTGCTTTTTAGTAGCCTTAATAGTATACTTAAAGCTATTTTAGGCCTTTATAAAGCTCTTTTAGCTCTCCTTATCCTAGGCTAGCCTATAAGCCCATTAGGCTAAGCTTAGGGCTTTCTAAAAGAAGGTTAGCTCGTCGGTCTACTAGGGCTTAGATCCTTTATAAGGCCTCTTTTTTAGTATCGCTACGTTTAAGGCCTCTATAAGGGTTCTTATTAAAAGGGAAGCTATCCCTTTTAAGTCGTTTCTTTTTATAGCCCTCTCTATAGATATAAGGAGGCCCTATTCCTTCTTAGCTAAGTATTCTAAAAAGACCTTTTAGTTTACTTTCCTATAGTTATAGGTAGTAGGCCTAGCTAGTTATAAGGAACGGTGTTTTCCTATTATAAAAAAAGTAGCTATAATATACTCTCCTAATTATATAAGCTAATAAGTAGTATATTAATTATAGGTAAAATCTTATTTTATAAAGTAAGAATCGCTTATTCTTTTTTATATTATTATATATTAAACGGGTTACCTATTATTATATAATTAGGAATTAAAGGAATAGAGCTAGCTTAAAATACTAGCTAAGACCTCTAAAAAATACCTATATAACTAACCTCCTTTAAACACGAATATTAATAGAACTAAGACACCTTTAGCTATACTCGAGGTATTACTAAATTCCTTAGTCTTAGGGCTATACGGCAGCCTAAATCTAGTTCTGAAAGGTTCTTTTATTTAGCTATAATTATCTATATAAGGCAGTATATCTACTAGTAGATAGAGATAGAATTATTAAAAACTTTGATACCTCTTCTATATACTAATATACTACTAATAAATCCCGTTAAAAATCCTACCCTATATTCCTTCTTCCCTTCTATTATATAGTCCTACGTAATTCCTTAATTTCCTAAAATTCCGCTATTACTTATATACCTTTAGACTAGTAAGAGCCTATTAAGGCCCCTTAAGCTAGCTTTAAAAGCTATAAGCTTATAGTCTAAGCTTATAGCCTCTAGGAAGTAAAAGTTAGCTTAGGTTAGCTACTTAAAGGGGCTATAAAAAGTAAGGTCTATAACTAAGGCCCTTTTTAAGCCTCTCCTTTAATAGGTGCCTTCTATAGCTACCTTAAGGTCTATTAGTAAGGAAGCTTTATAGTAGTCGAGCTAGCTAATAAAAGCTTCTACTTTATAAGCCTTAAAGGGTTCTATAAAAGGGTTCTAATAAGGGTAGTATAAGTTAAAGTCCTTTATTAGTAAGAAGGGCTACTATAGGAGTTAAGCTATTAGTAGTAGCCTTTTTATTATAAGGGGCCCTTACTAGCCTTAGCTAGCTAAGGCCCCTTTAATATCTTTTTTATTATATAGGTTAATAAAGGTAAACGGCTCGGTACCTTTTACCCTTATAGCCTATATATTAGGGTTATAAAAGAGGTCGAAGCTAAGGCTAGCTTCTATCTAAGCTTCCTTCCTCTTATAAGCTATAACCCTAGGCCTCCTAGTAAGCTTAGGAAAGTTAGTAGAAAGGATAAAGGTTATAATATTATAGGCTAGATACTATATAAGGATATAGCTATTATCGATCTTATAGAGGTAGGGCTCTTATAATAAGATAAGGTCCGCTCTTATTTCTAAGGCTTACTTTAAGATCGATAGGTTTACTATTTCTTACTTATTAGTATTATACTATATAATATTATTAAGGTTATAGTTAGGCCTAGGGGGCCTAAGGGGCCTCGGGGGCCTTATAAGTATAAGGGGGCTAAGGCTATTAAGTATTAGTTATTCCCTTATAGACTCCGTATTATACTTTATTAGTTATAAGGTACTCTCCCTTATAATTATAGTATTAGACCTTAAAGTAAGACCCGCTATAGCTAGCCTTATAGCTAGGGTAGTTATAGTCCTTAGTTAAGTACTTTTCTAGGTAAAAGGCATACCTAATAAGCTGCCGGTAGGTCCGGGGGTTATAGCTAAAGGAAAGGCACCTATAGTACTATATACGTATAGTATATTCCTTATAAGCCTTAACTTAAATTTATAGACCTACTATATAAAGGCTTTTTATTTTAGTATTCGGCCCCTATAGCCTCCGAAGGGCCTATAAAGACGACGGATCCTACCTTCTACGTTAGGCCTAGGGTGCCTAGCTACCTAAGCTGCCCTAGGATATCGATCCTACTAAAAGTCTTAGCTTCTACGGCGAAGATATTAAGGATAGGGGTCTCTAAGAGGTTAGGGACGCTCCGGGCTACTAGCTTAGTCTAGCTAGTAGGAAGGTCGGCTAATTTAATAGGTAGCCTCTTAAGGTATAGGGACTACTTATCACGCTACTTTAGAAGCTTCTTTACTATATAAGAGGCCTTTATTATTATAACTATATAACCTCTATTTAAAGTTAATAGAGCTAATATAGCTAGTTTCCCTATGTTACGGCCAGGCACATACGAGCCTTGACGGCTATAAAGATGTATTGGCACTATGAACAAAGACTCAAAGCTAAGGAGCAAGAAAGGAAGACTAGACTACACGACCGAGCGGGCCCTTATATAGACACGAGGTCGCGCGTGGGCACGTGATGCTGCTTGGGCACGTGACACTGGTGAGGTTCTGCGCTGGCGGCTCTACGCTGGCGCCCAGGGTCGTGACACCCTATAGCCTTATTAAGCTCGTTGCGAAGAGTAATAGGGCTAATAGTCGGCGTTAGCAATCCCTTCTTTAGCTTTAGGATAAGTTAGAAGTCCTCCTTTACGTTCCTCTTAGCTAGGGCCTTAGCCGGGGCCTTAGCCGGAGCCTTAGCCGGGGCCTTAGCCGGGGCCTTAGGCGCCTTCTTTACGGCAACCTTAGCCCACGAGCTCGCTTCGAGGCTTCCTTAGGTGGCCTTAGGCTGCTGGGCGGCCTTAGGCTGGTGTAGGGGCTGTTGCGGGGGCTGTTGGCGGTCCGGGGTCCTTATAGCTGCGAGCGGCCAAGGCTAACCACGAGTGCTCGCTCCGGGTTGAGATTCGAGACTTCAAAACAACGCCACGTCCAGACCATGCTCTGCAGTCACCGGCACATGGCCGTCTGAGCATCTCCGTCCCTTTCTTAACAGCCACCACCGTCCCTCGGGCTCGCATCTGCGCGCCTGTCGGCGGCCTCATGTTCTCGCCGCAGAGACCTCCCACCATAACCGTCGATCCCGCTGTCAGTCTATCCAGCGACCGTGAGCGCCGACAAGTACCATCTCACACATGCCGCAGGACGGCTCCCAGGGTACTCCTGACGCCGAGAACAATGTTGCCCAACCTTTGACAGAGCACAACTCCCCGCAAGAGCGTGCCTGCGTGTCCCCGGCAGCTTTCGTCCAAGACCCTGCCGGCGCCGCCGTATTCTCGCCGTCCTCCTACGGCGGCTCGACGGCCACCGGCATGACGCCAGACGCCTCCACTGTCGAGAGATCCCGCGCGGCATCCCTGAACACCACGCTGTCGAGCATCCCCAGCCATGAGAACCTAGCCGGCGCCCGGCAGGACGACATGTCCAGCGGATTTCCGTTCTTGCCCGAGATCCTAGCGGACATGGTTAGCTCCAAGAGCATGGCCGATCTGGAAGCTGTGGGCGGGCCTGCCGGCCTATCTCGCGGCCTACGGACGGATCTTGATGCCGGCTTGGGCTCGGGCGAGTCGCGGCCCAACGACGTTATCGGCTCGGCGCCGCAGGCTAACGACGTGTGCGATGTGCTCAAGGCCAGAAAGGCCGTGTTCGGGACGAACCGGATCCCGGACAAGAAACTGAGGGGCATATTCGATCTCATGATCCTGGCGCTAAGCGACAGGGTGCTAATACTGCTTTCCGTTGTTGCCGCCATCTCGCTGTCCGTGGGTATGTACCAGTCCTTTGGCCAGCCGCATGCACCGGGGCAGCCGCGCGTCGAGTGGGTAGATGGAGTCACCATCATGGCGGCCGTCATGATTGTCGTCGTCACCGGTGCCGCGAACGACTACCAGAAAGAACGGCAGTTTGCTCGGCTAAACAAGAAGGTAGGGCAGCATTCAGTTTACGACTCGGTTGTTGCTTATATCTAACTTACATCGTGAAGCAAAGTGCTAACCTACTTTAGAAAGAGCAGCGGGCGGTAGTAGCGATTCGCTCCGGCAAGCCTACTGAGATTTCGGTATTTGACATCCTCGCAGGGGACGTTCTCCAGCTGAACCCTGGCGACCTCGTTCCGGCGGACGGGATCCTGATAGCGGGACACGCCATTCACGCCGACGAATCTTCCATGACCGGCGAATCCGAGCAGATCAAGAAGACGCCGGCGGCAAAGGCCCTGACGGACCTAAGGAAGGGCAGGGACGCCAACGGTCTCGACCCGTTTATCATCTCGGGGAGCAAGATCTTAGAAGGGACCGGCACTTACCTGGTAACCGCCGTTGGCATAAACAGCACCCGTGGCAGGCTTCATCTAAGTTTATCGGAGCGGCCAGATGCCACACCGTTGCAAGAGAAGCTAAGCGGCGTGGCAGACAAGATCGCGATAAGCGGAGTGGCTGTTGCCACAGTTTTGTTCCTGGTCCTCACTATCAAGCTTATTTTCACCATTCCAACAAGCGATAGCTCGCCTTTCGAGCTATTGCAGACGTTTCTCCGCATCTTCATCGTCTCAATCACCATTGTCGTCATCGCGGTCCCTGAAGGGTTGCCGCTGGCTGTCACGCTGGCGCTGTCCATTGCGGTCACGCGAATGCTCAAGGACAATAACCTCGTGAGGATTCTTGCAGCGTGTGAGACCATGGGGAACGCTACGACTGTGTGCTGCGACAAGACGGGGACGCTCACGATGAACAAGATGAGGGTCACGCGGGGGGTTCTCGGCGTGAACAGCCGGTTCTCTGACGAGGGGGATCAAGGACCGAGCGGCCGGCCGCTACAGAACACGGCCGCTTCCGAACACGACGCCCTCCTGGGCGGAGCGCTGCCGGTCGCTGCTTCGGATGGCGAAGTCTCGTCGGCTGCGAAGTTGTGTTCGTCACTTGCGCCAGATGTGCGCGACGCCATGCTGAAATCCATCGCCATCAATTCCACCGCCTTCGAAGGGGACGAAGACGGGAGCATCGCTTTCATCGGCTCTAAGACGGAGGCCAGTCTGCTTCTGTTTGCCAAGGACTGGCTTGGCATGCAGCCACTTCAGCAGGAGCGCGCAAACGCTGAGGTGGTGGAGGTTTACCCGTTCGATTCCACCAGAAAATGCATGGCCACTGTGACGAGGCTCCCGGACAGCAAGTACCGCATATACGTGAAGGGAGCGCCGGAAGTGCTCCTGGAGTATTGCAGTCGGGTCATACCCCAGGCTGCATCTCCGCTGGGGCAAGGCGTCAGCTTGACCGAGGAGCGGCGCGATGTACTGCTAGGAACCATCGGAGAGTACGCCTCCCATTCGTTACGAGTCCTCGGGTTCGCATACAAAGACACATCTTGTTGGCCGCCCTTTGGATATCCACCAGACGGCGTCCCAGTCGAGCAGATCCTGGCCGACATGACGTTGCTGGGGGTGCTGGGCATTCAGGATTCGCTGAGACCAGGGGTCGCAGATGCCGTTGCCAGATGCCAGGGCGCCGGCGTGTTCGTGAGGATGGTGACGGGCGACAATGTTCGGACGGCCCGGGCAATTGCGAGTCAATGTGGAATTCTGACCGACCATGGCATCGTTCTTGAAGGCCCAGCGTTCAGACAACTCTCGGACACAGAGATGGATCGAATCCTGTCGCGTCTTCAAGTGCTAGCCAGATCAAGCCCGGAAGACAAACAGTTGCTGGTGAAGCGTTTGAAGGAACTCGGCGAAACCGTGGCCGTGACTGGCGATGGCACCAACGATGGGCCGGCCTTGAGGGCTGCCGACGTCGGGTTTTCGATGGGACTCTCCGGGACTGATATTGCTAAAGAGGCCTCATCGATAGTCTTGATGGATGACAACTTCTCCTCCATTGTCAAGGTGATCGAATGGGGACGCACTGTCAATGATGCGGTCAAGAAGTTTCTGAACGCAAGTCTGCTTTGTGCGGGACATGACAAAACCGAAACTAACGAAACGAAACTTGTAGTTCCAACTCACCGTGAACATCACAGCAGTCACAGTTACCTTTGTGTCTGCCATCATCAGTGATAAAGAGGAGTCCATCTTAACACCAGTTCAATTGCTGTGGGTTAATCTTATCATGGATACTTTCGCTGCTCTGGCTCTGGCGACAGACCTACCAAGCGCAACCGTTCTCGAAAGAAAGCCCGAAAGAAAATCCGCACCATTAATATCTACAACCGGATGGAAGTTGATTATCGGCCAATCGGTATATCAGCTTGTCGTTATTCTGTTCTTGAACCTCGGAGGTGCTCGGAGTCTTGGGTTGATACGGCCAGAGGAGATGGAAACGCTGGAAACACTGATCTTCAACGCTTACGTCTGGATGCAGTTTTTTAATCTCTACAAGTAGGTTGCTGGATATCTCATCTACAGATCAGTACAAGTTGACTCTTGAACAGCAATCGCCGCCTCGACAATAAGTTCAACGTCTTCCAAGGTATTACGATGAACCCGTATTTTATCGCCATTATTGTGGCTATTGCTGCGGGTCAGTTTCTCATCATAACCTTTGGCGGAAGTGCTCTCTCGGCAACACAGCTTTCCGCCAAGGAATGGGCCATATCGCTTATCCTTGGCGTCCTTTGCATGCCTGTGGCGATGGTTCTGCGCTTAATTCCGGATGAGTCGATCAAACGCCTCTTTGACCGCAAGCGACATGGAAGAAGTGATACGCCGCAGGGAGATCGAACGGCTGCACCTACAGACGAGATCCAATGGCCGATGGCTCTGAGGCGTGTTCGCTGTGAACTTCTTACAATCAGGCAACCTCGTAGCTCGAGACTACAGCGCCTGCGATCCGAGATTGGCGACCGGGCAATCTCGGGGGTATGCGGAGGGCTGCGCCGGGATGGTGCAGAGGCGGACGAGAGAGCCCCCCTACTACAAAGGCACACGGGGGGTCAGCATCGATCTCGGCAGAGCTCCGTGTGTGGGCCGGCTGTCATTATGGCAGGACTGGTAGCGGGTGGTGTGGCGGGCTGGCCAGATGAGGATGCCGGTATGTTGCCGACTGGTGTGAGTTTGTTAGACGGCGACGAACAATCTCAATGTTGAGAGCGGCGTGATTGGACCCAAGCAAATGTGTATCGGCTACATTCGCAACTACCCGTGCCGCATCCGTCTTGTATTTGCAACTCGCGAGCTCACACCACTGAAAGGTGATGCTCATCACCAACATCACCACACCATGGCGATGACCAGAATTTCGACCCCCCGATTCAGCATCCCTACTTCTCAACCCATCCCACAATGCCGTGGCTGGCTGAAATAGGAGCACGTATTCAAGACGCTCTTAGACACATTGACGATTTTCCTGTTGCCATAGTGGGTGGCTACGGTGGCGCGAGATTCGGTCTAACACGTGGTCGACTGTGACACCGTCTTTCTCGCAGGGGCTGAAAATGAAAGGCAAGAGTAACCATGTTCATTCTCGTCTGTCTAAAACGACAGTAAAAAGTTTTTCTTCTTACAGTCCTGTGGCTGCCTTGATGCTAAAAAGTCGTTGTATAACGCCATCTACGAGATTGAATTCACAGGGTGCATTAGTATTATAGCGCGCCAGCTTCCCTTTAGTGGCTTATATCTAGATAAAATGCGAAAGTGACGTTTTGCTTCCTTATAACTTGTTACTCACCGCATGTCCCGAGGGAATAAAAATGCAGCACATTCAACAAACGTAAATCTCGATCGCTGAAAGTCGTAACGGATAACTTAAACGCCGTGTGCAAGGAGATGCTCAGAAAATACAGCGTGGGGATAACATCACGGGAGGCGGCATGCGATATCACGATCCAAGGTCAAGCGATCCCCCGAGGGAGGGCCATCAAGGTGGCAACATTCGGCACCAGCGTAGACGCTATGCTCCGGGGTGACGATGCCGGCGAGTTCAAGCCCGAGCGCTGGCTGGTAGCCGAAAAGGAGTGTCCTGCAGATACGGAAAAGCGGGCGAGCGGCGGTGCTACCAGCATCTACGCCTCTATACCCTTCATGCACAGGCCGCAGAGTTGCATGGCAGTTCGCTTCGCGCAGGCTGAGCTTGCGTGTCTGCTGGCGACGTGGTTTGGCCGTCTGGAGTTTACGCTACATGACAAGAGTTTGATGGATGAGAGGAATCTGCCGAGAACTGCGCTGCAGACAAGCTTTGAAGTGTGCGTTAAAGTAATGGAGGGGTGGTAAAGTTGAGCTGTGAGGCAGTGGCTCTCTTCCACTACTTGAAGTTATCTTATATTAGAGACGTCAAGGCAATTTCTAGTATCGTATCCTGCTTTCCTTGTTGTGACGATTGGTCAGAGACACAGCTCCAGGGACTTCATGTAGACCCGCTTAGAGGTTAATCCTTGAATCGTCATCCCATAGATCCCGGTTTTGCTTCATGGGTTGCACTCAATGTATTCCTTCATAACAGCGGCTACTCTCTTCTTCGGTGCAATAGTCGATGTGATGTGCAATGCGCCGCAGTGTACGGATTAGTCCGCCCGCTGAGCTCATGCACAGGAACCAACTTGTGGCGACCTATAGATGCCGTGGGGGTTTCTGAAGGATATTTTGAGCCTTGTCCACGGCTCTAACAGGTAACATGATATCGGCTTCAGAAGTTTCTGGCCTGCCATTTATATGAAATGTATATATATTCGCCCCGAGAGGAAGAGTCTCGAAGCGGTCCCGTTTCCACGTTCGAGCTATTCATTTCGCCATACGGATAACTTGGTAGTTTGCTTTACCTGATTAACGAGATCCGCCCCTTACCCCAGTCTCCCCTGAATATCTAACTGAGGCTGTCTAGGCAGCAGGGCGCCCCATAAAGAAGTGGGCTTTGACATGATATAGTCCTTGTACGTAGTTTGCTTTATCCCAACGGACGCCCAGGCCGTTGTCACAGGCCGACTTGATTTTTTGAGATAAATACTACGGTAGTGTCACAATCAACAGAGGGCATGTCTCGTATGGATCACAAAAAAGGACGCGGTGTGGAGAATGGTGGGCGGACAGTTACAGTATCTCTTCCTTTACAAATGTACAGTACGCATTAGATGTGTGCGGAATTTGCTTGTTCATCAGTTGTTCAGACGGTTCTATTTTCCTGGGTCAGGTTATCTATACGAAAGAGAAAGCGTCAGTCTCATCATGTCCCTCCCTACTTGTCCTGGGGACAAAGTTGCGTCTCGGCTTGCGCCTCCTCGCCCTCACACTCACCGCGGTTGGCTCCTCGATAAGAGCAAAGTTCTTGCGCAACCGTCCGTCCGTCCTGCTTTACTCAATCCCTTCCACATTGTCCAACTTGAGAGTAAGACCACGGCAACAATCCAAGACGGCATCATCGTTGACGGGCTGACACCACCATTGACCCATCCATACATACACACATAGAGCATCGGGCGTCAAGACCTCACCTTCCAGCAACCAATGTCCCACGACTCCCAGCCACGGCCTCGCCCTACGCTCTCTCGCTTCCTCGACAAGCGCGTGGCGAGATCACCCCCCGGACCTCCCTCCTCGATGGCAGTAGGCTACGCCTTTCCCCCACAGCCCGACGTATTGAGCTTGAAAAAGGTGCCACAACCCCCAGGGCACCGCCCGCCACACTTGAACTCGTTGGTGACGGTCGGCACAGGTGTTGGGCATCCTCGCCGACAGCTGAGCGTCGAGACGATCACGCACATAGGCCGGACGCACGTCGAGCACGCGCTCGTCGACGTCACTGTCGGACACGCATTCACCGGCTTCGTCGGTGGCACCGTCACGTACGACGTCGACGCGCAACCCGCGGGGCATCGCTTCTCGCCACACGCGTACGCTGTTGTCGACGTCGCCGCCGGCCACGGGCAGTTGTCGCGCGACGAAATGGTCTCGTACGCCAGACACTCCTTGACCGCGCACGTCGAGCACACTTCGGCCGTCGACTTCACTGTCGGGCAGGGCGGATGGCCGCCACCCTCGGCTGCCTGCGCTACCAAGGAGCTTCTGCCATCCTCGGCTCGTCAGCAACGAGAACGCATCAAGGGTCTCCAACGGCCAAGGGCGATTGATGGAGAAAAGGGGCGCAGGAATCCAGAGTCCTTACCCAACGAGAGCCGACAGGAGAGCCGTGGCGAGGACGCGCATCCTGGCCAGTGAAGTGGGCAAGGGTCGAGCTCGATTGTCAACACCCTATTCGGCGTATCGCGAGGACACGTCGCTGTATTTCAGACGGAGGGAAACGAGTGGGAGGACGTGGACTCCTTTTAAGACAAACGCTTCCGGCGGTGTGGGAAATCTGATGCGCCCTAAATGTCTGGAGCGAGACAGCCCCTTTCTTCTCTCCGACCTCTCACCTGCTTCAGCTCTCTTACCAACAAGCACATTCCGAGCCAGGAGCATGATTCAGACAGCCCATAGGCAATACGTCAGAGGCGGCGCATGCAGGGCTACCATCTTCAGGGCCGGTTGATCGACTGCATCGTCCACGGCCTTGGTCACCGCCGAGCGAGCAACTTCAGCCGCATCCATCGACTCGCCCCACCGTGAGTCGGCTCAGCTTGCAACCGCGCTCTGGCTTGGGGCAATAAATAGTTCGCTGATATTGACAAGGTGCCAAGCCGCGCTCTGGATAGCGGACGCCCACACTTTCACCGTGCGTTATTGGCGGCTTGCGCCAAGACCACGTCAAGGCGCCGTGTAATCTTTGAGCCGTCGAACTCCCACCTGGAACTCACCTCACAGATTGGTGTAGGCTTGGTAGGTTGCCACGTTGATGTGGCACATAACTTGCTGCAGCTGTGCTTCATCGTTTGTTGATACAGCTTGCCGACGTATCGGTCTACCTCACATGCTCTTCTGCTAATGAAACCCTAAAGAATGTCGTGGGGAGGGAACTCTAACGCTATAGAAGTCATCTACTTTCTAAATATTTACTGTAAATACTCGGTCGAGAAGTATACGGGCCAAAAATGAAGCATGTCATCAAACAACAAGTCATAAACCTTATAAAAATGAATGTCTGTCTGAGAACCTAATATAAGCTAAGGCCAGTATAAATACTAGGGAGTCACTTATCGGTTTTCTCTTTGCTCCTAGCCTTTAATATGCATAAGTATACCTCTATAGTTGGAAGATCTCTTCCTCCCTCTGGGCTTCCACGGAGTAGCAGCTGGACATCCTTATAGCAAATTGTCTTGAAATTAGCTTCTTTTAAGTAATTTTTTATATATAATCTATCTGTGGGAATTGTAGTAATCCATTGTACCCATCTAGATAGGTCACGTGCGCTCTCACGTGTGCAGTTGAGGATAGCGGAGGACACATAGCTAGCTCCGTGCCCTTTGCCCCCTCTTCCCCCTTTCTAGAACAGACATCAACGATTACACATACCATTGCGATTTGCACGCAGGCCTGTAGAGACCTACCGACACTGATCAGTGGTCGACTTGGTCGATCACAGACAGCTAGGAAGAAGAGACAAATCGCTAACCTTCAAGATCGGCTGCAAGGCATCGGTTGAGGAAGGTTATTTGTGCTAAGTGGCTATCTCAGGCTGCCAGGCATCTGGGAGAACCTACCAAGCTATTAATCGGCTGCAAGGCATCGATTAGTAGTGCGACCACATCGCCTAGCGACTTCTATTATCGGCTGCAAGGCATCGATCAACAGTTGTTACTAGACCCGACAAAGACGTATTTCGACAGCCAGATACGACTCCATCGTCTCATTCACTTGATCAACGATGACCCCGACCGACCGAGCTACGACTCCGAACGAGAGCGCTCAGCTCGAACAATTGAGCGAACGGATGCAAGGACTAGCTATCCAGACATCCGTATTCGATAAAGTTGATGTTACCCTTTGGGGACAAGACATCAAACCTGACGAGGAAGATGAGATCGCAGTTACGACGTACGCCGCTAGGTTCATGTCCAATGCCCAATTCGAACGCCTAGAAGGAGACGACATCCTTGACCACTTCCAACAACACTTCGAAGGCTGGAA